GGAACTCATGGAAATGTGTCTGTTTGTGCTGAGAAGTGTTATTGAACAGAAAACAGAGAGTACATATCAGGGGCCAGAGCCAAACTGGGGTGGTGGAATTAGCGGAGTACCATTGGGTCTGTACCAGGACCACTGTTCTTTCTAATTCACAGTGCTTTGCAGACGTGTTCAATCCCAATTACAGACCATGGGTAGTACTGTATGTGTCATGCTCGTGCTGGGACCGGGGCCAACAGCAGCATTCCCACGAGCTCTCAACCTGTCACTCAAACTAGATCGGGCTGCCCTTCAGTCAGACTCCCAGTCTAGTTCCCAATCGGTCTCCTTGATGCGAGCTCCTAGTGCTCGTGTTAGCGTTCACTTCACTTCTTGCTAGTTGTCCCGACCACCAGCCTGCCCAGATCAGCCCCGAAGAGGACTAATCAGCACCAGCAGGAGGGTTTTAATGACAAACGCCGCCACATGTGTTAATTCATCATCAGACTCTTTACCATGCGGCAGGCTGCACTATTTAAGCCTCTCTTACCCACGTATTGATGCTCGGTATTGAGTAAACTTCTCGTGAGCTCTACCTAGCGTTTCTTACCTTTTGTCTTCTTGGAATTTGACTCCCCCTTTTTTCCCCTTCCGAATACGGATCTCGCCTTGCTCTTCGGATTGTTTGCCACCAGTGTCTACACCAGATTATTAACTACCTTCCTCTTTTCGACCTTGACTCCGTCTCATGTTTTGGATAGTTTGCCTCTAGTGCCTTTACCTACCTTTCGCCCTCTGACTACGATCTAGCTCCTTGTTTTGGATTGTTCGCCTTCAAACCTGCCACCTTTTCCTGCGTCTGCATTGGATCCTGATCACCTTTTCAGAGTAGCGTTACACTAGTTAAATCTGCTACTTTTTGTTTCCCTGTTTCTTCCTCCAAGGAGCAACCCAGCAGAATCCACTCCGGTCTAATTGTTTCCACTGATTATTTTCCTTTCAAAGTATTTTTATGGCACTGGCTTGCCAGCCTCCCCTCACTGTCTCGGCTAGGAGCTCCACTTTTCTTTATCAGACAGTCTCCCTTCCACCTGTCTGCATCCTCTCTCCCTCTCTAAATTCACTGATCTGGCCAGGCAGAGCTTCCATAGAAAGGTCTTCAGAAGTGTTTCCACTTGTCATCCTGCTAAACAGTAGCTGCAGCAAAGCAGTTCACACATCATTTGTCATCAAAATGTTCGTTCGGTAGCGGAGGTCTGTACCCTCCCTGCTGTGGAAATCCTAAACTATTCCAGGTGCACAAAGCTCTTTGATGACTCACGCAATTACTTAAATGACCTCTGTGTCCTGTATTGTTTCATGGATATAAAGACATTTAATAATAATAATAATAATAA